TTCGAGGATTAAATTTTTTATGCTTTTTAAACTCAAAAAGGGGGGGGGGTCGTATTATACATGAGGTCATATTATACACGAATAAATAACGGTAGGTCAAAACAAAAGAGTACATGCAGTATCTAATACCACAGTGCAAAATTAATATAAATCTTGCTCCTTGAGGTAAATACAAATGTTTATCTAGTATAAATAATGTGCTCAGTAGAACATTTCTCCCACCACTGGTTGATTTTGGTCTTCCTCGTCTTTGTTCTTATCTCACAGGTACCCATTGGCTTTTGTAGCTGCAAAGTTAGCTTTGGGAATCCCCTTGCCAGACATCAAAAACGCTGTGTCAGAGAAAACTACAGCCTGCTTTGAGCCAAGTTTAGACTACATCGTCACCAAGATTCCCCGCTGGGACCTGGACCGTTTCCAGGGCATGTCTCTGGAAATAGGCAGTGCCATGAAGAGTGTTGGAGAGGCAGGACGGATCCATATGTGCAAATATTTACTCACTCGTGCTCTCGCCTACTCACTAAATTTCCTCTCCTGCTTTGGATTCAGGTGATGGCAGTTGGCCGGACGTTTGAGGAGAGCATGCAGAAGGCCTTGAGGATGTGTCATCCATCTGTGGACGGCTTTGTTCCCCGGCTGCCACTCAAGAAAGCCTGGGGCAACACCCAGGACCTGCAACAGGAGCTGGCTGTGCCCTCCAGCACACGCATTTTCTCCCTTGCCAAGGTGCAAAAAAAAATTGAAAACATTAATAATGAATGGCACTGACTACCGTTGCTCATTAAAACCACATTTTGAAGTGTTAATGAAAAAAATTTTCCTTGCCCTCCTGCATGAGTAGCTATGAATGATTAATTTTGTGGAAAAGCTTGTCTTTGAAAGTTTTGAATAGACGAACTGCATGTATAACACGTCCAAAACACACCTGCGCAGTTAGATTATTTAAATGACAGTCTGTCTTTCTCAAGCATGTCACAAAGATGAATCAAAACCGCATTATCTCTGAAAACGTCTGTGCATCTCGTTTTATATAATTTCTCAGTGTCAGAGGAATAAAATGCAGCTTGATTTTCAGGGTCAGTGTTTATTAATAAAACCGCATAATATTTCTTGAGCTATTGCAAAGTGATAAACATGAACAGGTTCAGTGCTTTGCCATGCTGTTATCACCAGCTGATAAAGAACCAACATAAGGTCATGTCACTTTCAAAGCCTTCAGGTTTGTGCGCTTTGTGTCATGATAGTGAAAATGCATTTCCTTTAGAATGCAATGAGAATGTCAGTGATAGCAGAACAACACTAGGCATTATTAATCCTTATCTTCAGACTATCAAACATGCTTCAAGGTGGTCAAACACCACCATTATCACTCAAAGCTGCCCTACACACTGTTACCTTTTGTTTCTTTATTCTGCAGGCAAGTCATACTAAAATTATACAGCCAGAACTCTTGGACAGTCATGTAGATTTACAGGTGTTCTGACATCAGTGCTATCTGTGCTAATAAACAACTAATTAGATATATTACTACTATTTTGAATTTCATACTTAAAATAAGCAGCAGAAGCATATTTATTTATCAAAGTGTGCCACACTGATGACTAAAACCTACTTGGAGTATTTGATGATTTTGCTTGGCAGACAATTAATTTCAAGGTAGTTAAAAAAATGGTGCTGTCAGGGCAGGTTTTTTGTGATATTACAGGTGGATGACATAGGGTAGTTTAAACAGCTTTTTAATGAAATGCCACAATGAAAAATTGCTCCTGTAATAGATTTTTACCTGGATTAATCGTTGAAGAGGGAATGGATGAAACCGTGGGATTTACAGTTATTGTCTTGTGGTTTTAATGCAATCACTGGGTGTTCGCTATCAGGTGAAATCTGTTCAGTTTGCATCTTTCAATTGAGTGAGTGACGAACAAAGTGATGGTGATGCCCAGTCTCTCTTATTTTCTTTTTTTAGGCGCTGCATAATGGAATGAGTGTTGATCAGATTCATCAGCTGACGGCCATAGATAAGTGGTTTCTTCACAAGCTTCACAGGATAACTCAGCTGGAACAAAACCTTGGAAGCTACAACAGGTAACGCATAACAGCTGAATGTAAAAACTGCAACTAAAGTTTTTAATCGCGGCAATTAATTTTAGGAGGTTGTTGTTGCTAGAAGTTTTGGTTTATTTTTGTGTGTTTGAGGTGGGAGCTGTGTGTTATTGAGTAACCTTGGATGTTGTATAAAAATATTCAAATTAGACTTTTATAATAGGTGAATGTGCATTTCTTTTTGAAATTGCTGTAAATTCTGTATTTGAAACGCAATTTAAAAACTAGACATGGGTTTTTACGATGTAAAAACAAGTGTGCATTGCCTTGTAGCATGTCATTGCAGCATGGCTTTGCCTGCAGCAGTGGACTTGCAGAATGAAATGTGACCAAGTTCAAATGTGTTTTCTATACCAGCTTGTGCCTGTCAAGTCAGCAGGTTTTTGTAATAAGGGTATTTGTGTGACAATATGAAGTTTGTAGAGATTTTCTGTTAAAGTTGCTGCTGCTGGATTTCAAACRGTAATCTCCCACATGAAAGCCCACGGCACTAWCCATGAGACCATTGGAGCTGTGGTAGAGGACGAGGCCAGGGTTTGGTTTGTGTGTGTGCAGAAAGTGGCCACATTGCCAATGTAATGGTTGTCACTTATTTGAAAAATATTACAACAATAAAGCAATATTAGGACAATATTTTAGTAAAACATCAAAACACAATCATATTAGTATTGCAAACACTGAACTATTGAGATTAAATATTATTAAACTATGGTGCAGTACTGAGTAGATACAGCAGGGGCAGTATTGGACCAATACAAGGCTCCATTGACTCTCATTATAAATTATTAAACATTAATTTTTCAAAAACTATAAGTTGTACAGGCACCAAAAGTCATAGCCATCATTTGGCACAGGAGCTTTACAGATATAAATTACAATGGCAGCTCTAGGACAAAGTATGCAGGAGGAGTAGCATGGCAAAGTGGAGATGACTTGGATGAGAAACGAATCACAATAGTGTGCATTGCAATGGCAATGCACACTGATAATCCTGACAAACAATATACCTGCCTGAATACCTTGATTGTCCTTATGCTTCTTTAAAAAGTCTCATTAACACAGTTAAAATAGCCACTAAACAGATTAAATATTATCAAAATATGTTTCTATCATTTTTATTTTACTGGAAAATATCAGTCACGGCCATATTAGAAATCACAAAAGCACAAGTCACTTAACATTTTTTTTTCTCAAAGGGTTTATTTTACTTTATTTTTTTTCTTGACTGTCTTTGTCTGTTTTTTCCAATCTCTTGCCCTCCGGCTCTTTGCTGGATCGCTCAACTCAAAGCCATAGTGAATTATGATGGCTCAGCCACAGGTGACCTCCTGCTTTCTTATGACGCTTCTTTTTTATTTTTAATGTCTTGCTGTTCAGCGAGCACCCACTGCTACCCTCGRACACACAGAGAATCGTCGACTCCACTGCCCGGGATGCAGCAAGCACAGAGCTCAGTGCTGGTAGACTTCAGGCTCTTTTTGCTCTGCAGACCTCACTGACCCCCACTGTACTTTATATTGAATGATCATTGACTATAGTACGATAATATTTTATTTATTTGTTTCAGTAATGTAAAGAAATGCTTTTCAAATATGTAGCAACTCCTGTGCTAACAAATCTAACAAACTATTCTGATTTGCACATCGACAGTTAACAACAAAATAACATTTTCATTGTTTKTTTTCAATCGTATTAATATTTTAAAGTCACATCCCGATTCCCAAATGTAAGTCTGTTGCTATTTTTATGTCCACTTGCTGGAAATGGGTATCAAACAGCWGCTCCTGCCAGCTTGGTTTTTTGCAACTTTGAATCGTCTTGGTCAATTTGTTATTGATCGCTCTACAGTGAAATGTTCCCTGCTGTCCACACCACTGAGTAAATGACCCATTCACTGGATTCACCCTTATAGTTCAATGGACCTGAAAATACACAAGATTGTTAGAGAGATCAGAGAGAGAGAGAGAAAAACACCCCTCTAATAAACTGGCTTGTTTGGCTTTATGTCTTCRGTGTAAAAGGAAAGAAAAAAGGGAAAAAAAAGAAAACACTACTATTACATTCAGTACAGGTCAGGTCTTCATGACTTGAAAGATGATTACATCATCTGTATGTTGCTTTAATGCTACTTTGTTTTGTCACAAGAAAAACAAAAACGTTACCACACTTTTTTAGYCATAACACCTTTCRAACAGAAAAAMGAGTAGCGATTAAATCATMTTGAATGCCTACAAGTTTAATTTTTGAYGTATATCCAGATGGCTTCCACCTGTGCAGATGTTATACAGTTTTTGAGTGTTTACAGCTGTATTAATCTGCTCTTTCTTATGTTTTTGCACAGTGGTACAGTGCCCAAGGAACTGCTGTTGAAAGCCAAGCAGCATGGTTTCTCAGACCAGCAGGTCGGTCAGGCTCTTAGCTGCGATGAGAAAGCAGCCAGAGAGCTGAGGCTCACTTATGACATCAGACCTTGGGTCAAACAGGTGAGGATCACTGCAGTTCTCCTGACAGAGTCCAGACTGACTGAAGTAACAAACTCTGACTGCTTAATACTCAGACATACCTTTTATTCTGGACTCAGATACAAATGACTTGTTTAATTTTTTTTGAAAGAGATTTCAATCTTATAGAGCCAATATTATACGTTTATCAGGCATAAAGTTCAATTCTACAGCACAATAAAGTAACATTCAGTTGTTATGCAAATGCTGTTTATATGTATAAATCAAAAAAAAATTGGTTTTGCGTCATAGAAAATTCTAATCACTTTGAAATGAACATCCTACCAATTCAGTCACCCTCATTTCTCCATGTCATCGCAACAGCTTCATGCCATTTACAGCCTGTAGCCTTGTAGCCTATTTTGTTGTAATATCAATGAAGAAAACAGCAACATTATAAAGTATAGGTTTTGGAAAATGGCAACTCTATACTGTATACAATTGAACCTTACCGTCGGACCTGAAAAGTATGTTTTCTGAAGAACTGGAGCGAGTACAGAGGTGATGTTTCATCTTGGTAAGATATCTCCCAGTCATCCTTACATACACACATCAATGTTAAGCTAATTTATTTATAATTAAAATGTGGTGTAGGCCAACTAAAGAACACATATTGTGTTATAAGATACAAATGCTAACCGTGATCACAGATAGACCAAACAACTGAACAAAACAACATGAATTGTTTTTCAGCTTACCTGAGCAGACGACAAAGGTGTTTGCATACTTTTGAGTGTTGGAATAGCATCGTCTTTTACTGATAATCTTATTAGTCCACTACAAAATTGAAGTCCAACCATTTTCAGTTCATTGAGTTAAAGCAATACCCTGTGTATGTTTTTTGATGAAGGAATGATGTTATAACATGGTATAAAATAGAAAAAAAGTTGATTTTATATGATATTGCCCCTTTAAGGCTAAGCTGCTTTTGAAATATAAGACACCACTGGTACTGTAATGAAAATGCTGACAGATTTTATTTAAATTTAAAATTACTTGGGGGTTTAAAAAGAATCAAGAAATATTGTCATACTGTGGAAAATATTGTTGAGCTTTACTGTCATAAATTTTGACATGACATAAGTTAGCTTCCAGGACCTTAGCTTTTACATTAGAAGTTCTGTTTTGCCATAGACAGATTTGAGAATGTTCAAGAACTTTTATCATCTGTTTCCCTTTTTTTGTTTGTTTATTGGTTTTGTTTTTACCAAAAATGTTTATCTGTTCGATCTGATCACTGTATGTAGGTCATGCATTTTGAATACAATTTTTAGATTCTTACCAGAACCCACAGAGGAGGTGAAGACCTCTAAAATGTGGCTACAACTTGTTGGGTTAGATGTTACACCAACTCTTTTAGGTTCTGTTGTCTGGGCTTCCAAATAATCAAAGAAAAACAGAAAGAAAACTATTTTTTTGTAAAGACATAATCCATGTAAATTTCTTTTTTCATAGATCGACACCTTAGCAGCTGAGTATCCAGCAATGACCAATTATTTATATTGTACCTATCATGGTCAGGTATGTTGTCTCAATCAAAAAAAAAAATGTTTCGTTCATGTTTACTTGWATTGTGTTCTTATTGTTTTCTTAATAATTTTTGTAAAAGAGGTTTTGTCAATTCATCTACTCCACCAGGAACATGATCTAGACTTCAAAGATCAGGGAATTATGGTTCTTGGTTGTGGACCTTATCACATTGGTGAGTTCTACAATAATATTTTACAAGATACTGCTGCATTGTAATATACCGTTTGGTAAAATTTTAAAGAAATATTTTCTATTGTAATTTGTGTAATGCTTATATATACTGGATGCAAAGAGTAATTTCATGACTCAGCCYTTTTTTTTAACCTAGAAAACTGATAACAAGCCTACAAACTTGAAACATACAGTAGCTAACATGTTTTAAACAGTTACCAGATATGTGTAGCTGTTTAGTTGCCATGCAGATATTCTGAACTCTAATTTGTGCTTGACATACACATATGTACCTACTGTGTAATGCATTAGGGAGCAGTGTTGAGTTCGACTGGTGTGCAGTGTCTTGCATCAGAGCCTTGAGACAAATGGGCAAGAAGACCGTGGTGGTCAACCACAACCCTGAGACAGTCAGCACCGACTTTGATGAGTGTGACCGCCTTTACTTTGAAGAGTTGACCCTGGAGCGCATCCTTGATATCACCCAGCAGGAGGTTTGTAGGTCACGGCTTGCTTTCACATATTATCATTGCAAACAAAATAGAAATACTGTTTTTGTTTGTCTTTGTTTAAAAGTGAAACAATCTTGTAATCTTTATGCTCTTTGATTAAGTCCCCAACATTGTTAAAGCTTATATTTTTAAGTCTACATATGCTTTATGTTTCAGAATTAAATTACTCTTAAAACCACCCAGACATAATTGATTTTACCAAAACTAAAAATACATTAGACATTTGTTTAAAACTTTATGTATGAGTTTAAGGTTGTCTTTGATGTTGCCTGACCTTTTTAAAATGTGCATATCTGCTTGCAAATCTGTTTTTTATGGATTTTTTATTTTATCTTTTTACTGCACCACTTTTGTGTTCTTACGYGTGCCATTGTTAGAAGACCTTAAGAAGGATTTATTTACTAAAAAAATATTTTCAGTTAATTTGGTCTGATTTATACTGTATTTTCTGCACACATTCAAGTAGCTGAGTAAGTTTTATGGTTTCTGTCTGATCCAGAATATTTCACATGTTCATAGATGTTACAACTGACATTTCTTTCCTGTTTACATCTGTTGGCGCCTGAGTATTTATGTGCTCGGGCATACTAATGTCCACTGAATTTCCCCTGCAGAGGAATTGTAATCCAGTTAAAGATGTGATGGGATCACAGTGTGATTAAGTGTTTGTTTGTTCAGGGACACAGCCTTACCATCAATCCCTCTCGTATGGCTACATTCCCCTCTTGCTTTTTGTATATGTGTGTGTGCGTGTGTGATAAATACAGCATTAGAGCATGGAGATAACCCCTGGACAGGAGCAAGAGAGCAGGTCCATGAATAATGAAGAGATACAACCTGGCATTGCCATGGAAACAGCATCCCCTTTGGATCACCTAGATGGGAAAAGGGGCTGCATGCAGTTATTAAAAAGCATATTCACATTTGGTTTATTATTGTTATTATTATTATTATTATTATTATTATTATTATTATTATTATTATTATTATTATTATTATTATTATTATTATTATCTGTGTTTTAATGACTATAGGGTGCACAACAATTACTCACTCATTGGCCTAAACAAATATCTTAGTTAATGTCCTCATAATGGTTACATTTTAAGATACCACAATATTTGTACTATCATCACTTGTCTGGTTAAAATAAAACTGCTTCCTGAAGTTAACCTATGTGATGTCCAGTCAGATTAAATGAAAGAGGCTACTGATTTAATTCGATTAAACTCACCTGATATATTAGTTTTTTTWAAATTAATTAATTATYWATTATTCATTTCATTACTTTTCTTGTATTAGCTGTGATTCTATGTGCTCTGTTCCACTCTACAGGGTTGTTTTGGTAGCATTGTGTCAGTAGGAGGTCAGATCCCCAACAACTTGGCCATGCCGRTGCACCTTAATGGAGTGAAGATTCTAGGAACAAGCCCTCGGCAGATTGACAGAGCAGAGGAACGCTCCGTCTTCTCCGGTATTCTGGATAATCTTGAGGTGGCCCAAGCCCCTTGGAGGGCGCTGAGCTCACTGGTGAGAGAAAACACACTGTAGAAATGAAAAATGTTTAAAACATTTTGAAGATATTATTGTAGGTTTTTTTTTCAAGAAGAAATTTATGTTTTTTTTAATAGTCACTAGGGTTTTGCATTTCTGTCATGTGGCCAATATGCTACAAACATTATCTAATACACTTTCAAGTCTGATTCAATACATCAAATAGACCTGATCAACAAAAAAATTTGATACCTAATAAAAATAAATTACTTCTAACAAACAAGCCTTGATTTAAATTACTATACATACTCATAAAACACCGCACATATTTAACAAACAATTCACAAAAACAAACTGCCAGTCAGCAGACGAACTTACACCTTTCTGTAACTCAGCAGTAAGCAGAGCAGAATACTTTTCTGTATTACACATAATAAAACACAAGTTATCATTTATTTTCAAAACAATCTTTCTGAATTATTAGTTGAGACAAAAACCAGGACATTGTTCTTCTTTGTCGTCTTTTTCGCCAGTAGAAACATCTGGTTGTTGATCACGTGACTCCCTTGATGGGAAAAAAGTGTTTCCATTGCGGTTTTGCAAAATACACCAATTTTGATACGGCCAAAAATAAATAAATAAATAAATAAATAAAATAAAAACCTAAACAAAAAGATTTTGTTGAAAAATGTGTGTTTTTTCGAAATTGACGTGTTTCCATTAAGCAAATTTATTTTTGAAATTCCAACTTGCGCATTTTTATGGTCAATGGAAACACAGCTACTATCTTCCTCAGTGGCTCAGAGACATAACAGCAGCTTTTTGACTTCAACCCTCTGATGCAGTCCTTTCATAAATGACTCTGAGACTAGAAGAAGGTGTGTCTGTGCCAACTTGAATTTTCTTTGTGAAATAAAGTACAGTTTTATTACACTTTAGTTAGATGATCAACAATCTGAAAAAAACTAAAGGAAGCTGAAAAATGTCCGAAAATAAAATTCAGGTTTGTTCCATGTTTTTACTTGCTCAAAGCTAAAGTGCACATGTTCATATTTCCACGCTCCTCCTTATTTTTTTTCTATTTCAGTTTATCCCTGGCTCCTTGAAAATTAAGACCCTGTGGAATTATGTAGACTAAAAAAAATCACAGCATATCTGCAGTTACTGTTAAAATAGGCTTCTTCCATTACTTTTGATCGTGTATTGAGGTACCACTGAGGACCGATTATCTAGTACACACACAGAAAACTTCAGTGTGCCTCTTCAGACTTTTACCTACATATTCTATTTCTGCACCAATCTTGAAGAGGTAGTTTGCTTTTAATGGGTTGGAATAACTTCAGCAAAGCCATGGGGAGATAGCTCTGGGAAGCTATTTTGTATTTATAAATGGTACCTTACCTGGTGGAGGAACAGTTGGTAATGATTGAGGGGGGAAAAGGCTAAACCTGAAGAGAGACAAAGCTGGGAGAAAAAGTGATGATGGTAATGATGATGAGGAGGAGGAGTAGGGCATGCAGTCTTTCTCTAACAGCTAGACTTTTTCCACAATTTCTACTCTTACATCTTTCATAAACTGAGTGGGTAGAGGGAAAAAGTCAAAATGGAGAGAAATTAAAGTGAGCTTACAGTCTCAGTTTTATTATTATTCTTTTTTTTTTTTCGATTTGCCCTTTTTTGGCCGAGTGGAGCTGTAATTCTTGTAGGTTTTAAGAATGTGTACGGTTGAAATAAGAAGAGGCTAAACGAGTGGGTGGGGTGTTATCACAGGGACGTGATTGAGCACAAAGACACCTTTTTATAATGTCAAGTGGGTCTAATTGCATGGTCTTTCAAATAATCATTTTATACAACCTTAAATACCGCAAATGTGTGAAGAAAAGTTTTAGATTGGTTGCCTGCTGACTTGTGCTCAGTTTTAAGGTAATCAATTGATCGTAAATGGAGAGTTTTTTCTAAGAACACAGGCTGGCTAAATCGGTCCATATATTTTATAAATCTTTGCTAAAATCCTTCACGGTAAATGTTTTGTTTTACATTAGGTAAACCAGTACAGGAGAGGCATGATGTCTCATGTTAAGAAGGTTCAAAATATGCCTGAGGTCTTTCTACAGTATGTGGACTTTACATGTTTATCTCATGCATTTTTTTTTTTTTTTTGGACACTCAGATTTCCTCTCAGACCAAAAACAAGTGTGTAAATTTACACCTCTAAAATGTCACTAGTATAAGTGAGAGTGTGAATGATTGTCTCTATTTTGGCTTTGTGATGAACTGGCAGCATGTCCAAGGTGTGCCCTAACTTTTGCTCAATGACCCCTGGAGATAATCCCCAGCTCTTTATGATCCTGCATGGAAAAGTTGGTAATGAACATAGATGGATGGATGAATCAATACATAATCAATGAGTGTTTAGTTTTAATATGTTTTTTTTTTGCCTAAGAATCATTTCGTCTCATCTTCTGATTCAGTGAGTTTGTTTGCAGATTGTTTCCGAAGGGTGGGGCCATTTTAGAGATCCATTTCTGCTGTAGTGTTTCATTTGTAGCTGAGCTCAAGATGCTGCTGTTGTTAGGCAGTGTTGCTACCATTATAAGACATTACATTCAGCCTCACATTTATGATATTAACCTTGTTAATGCATGTTACAACTAAGCGTTTCTGCACTGACTGTTTCAATATTTGTCCTGTTTCAAAATTTTAAAGATTTAAGATATTCATATTTTTTCTATTTTTACAAAGTACACAGTTGTGTAGACTATAAAAACATTCTCCCTCTGGCACAAAACCACATCACAGCAGGAAAAAATCATCTCATAGACCAAAACAATGACACGTGAAGCCTGTCACTGCTTAGATTTTGTAAGTAATTATTCTTCTTGTGGAGATGTCATGCTGGTGAAAAATGAGTAAAACAGTGCTGAGGTCTAAAAGATTCATGTTTCTTTGTCACATGATTGGGGTATTTTTTGCAAATGTGTTAGAAGAAATGTAAGCAGCATAAACATACTGAAGAAATATTTGAAAAAATAGTTTGCATTAGCGCACTAGACACAAAGGTGACTTGTAAACCCTATCCATCTGCTGCACCTGAGCAAACTATAGTACACATACATACATGTCGATACACAGAAAGTAATTTCTTCAAGTGTTTATGAGGCTTTGAGTTTTTTTTTTTTTTTACAAATGGCACACGTGAAGCAGTRCTTGAAACATCTAAAATCTTCCTAAAGTTAAAGAAAGACACAATATTTCAAAGATACATATAAACGTTTAGTGGGATATTCCTGAGGACTTTATGTGTGTTTAAGGGGTTCTATTCTGAGTCAAATCTGTGACTTTATGATACGTTTGTTGTGTGTTCTTCCTTTACAGGAAGATGCTTTTGCATTTGCAAACCAGGTGGGCTACCCCTGTCTTCTGCGCCCTTCGTATGTTCTAAGGTACATTTTCTTACCTCATACCTGTCAGAATGCCATATAT